TCTCTGCCTCACCTCCATACCAGGTAGGGCATGAAGAATTGCTGGGAACATGGTAGTGTCAGAAGTGGGACATGTCTCCTGGGGGTTGGGGGAATCTAAGAAGCCCCCCTGCTGCTCACCAAGGCCACAGGCCCAGAGACCTTCTCAGCACCTCCATCCCACTCTTTCATCTCCCCATGGATGAATGAAGCTCTCCTCACAAGTCAGCTCGCGGGCTCCGAGCCAAGGCTTCCCTTTGAAACACAGAACCTGGGGACCAGACACTCCACAGAGGGCACTTTCTGCCTCCACTCGCCTCTGAAAGACTCAAAGACGCAGGAGAGCTGAACTCAAGATTAACCCGACTCACCATCACAAGTCACCATTGTTTCCTGGCTTCTGCGATGTGCCTGGAGCCTCACATTCACTCCCCAGTGGAATCTGACAGTAGATTCGTGAAGGAGGCCACGACCCATCTCAGGCACAGAGCCCACAGGCTGGACCTTACAACATCCGGCCTGTCACCGGGCCGCTAACCATGTGGACACCTCGGGAGGGAAGTCCAGGCTGTGGTGACAGCATTTTATTGTTCAGATATTTATGGAATTATTCATAGCATTTGATAAGTAGTGGACTATTTCAAATGAAGTCGCTTATGTCCAATACAAAATGGAGACACTCATGTCAAAGCACAAACACACTCGGGGGAGGTAAATAAAAACAAAACCCCAAAGGACTTATGGAAGCAGTGGTGAGAGCTTTCCAGAACTTTCTCTGAGCAACCAGACACACTAGTCCTGGGCACAGAGACTCTAAAAGGAAATATGAAAACGGCAGCTGGACGCCAGCAGACCACAGAGGCAACCCAGCACGCATCTGCTGGCTGAGATCGGCCACTCAATCGCAGCAGCACTGAAAGCACCTTGCTCCTCTACCGGGAGCACAGCTGCCCACCTGCACCCTCCCGAACAGAAGAGGTGAGAGCGGACAGTGCCCTGCCTGGACCTTGGCTGCTTGCTGTTTGGCTCCTTAACGACCAACTACATAGAATACATCAAGGCCGATCCTGGGTGGCCGGCTGGGGGTGTGGCTGCGGGGGCTCCCTCCTCACTCTGATGATCAGGGGCTGGATTATGCCTGTCAAGCTCACCATCCATTTGTTCATTAGTTTGCTAAGCAGCAGATGGATTGACAGTTGGGAAGACACCACCATGAAAGGAATTCTGCTCAGGACAGGTCACAAGGCCAGTGGAAGAGCAAATCAACCCAAGGGACGAACCCTGTCCTCTCTGGTCCATGGAGATCAGCACCAGGAAACCGTGCTTGAAGGCACCTGGGCAAAGCTGGACGCACTGCAGGACTGGCTGGAACACAGACACATGTGCTCAAATGCACCTAACAAACACTCCCTCAGCATTCCTGAGAGGCAGCACTCATGAGACGTCACAGCTCAGACCCTGAATGTGAGCTCCAGTTCTCCCTGGCCCTGTAGTACATCCAATGACTGAGCAAACACACAGGGTCAAAACCTCCTTCTTGATCACTCTCAAATCAAATAAAGCTGTTTGCATTATTTCAGATCAAATACACCTCCTCGCAGTCTTAGGCGCTATTCTCTGGGCACACATTCCGCCAGGAACCTCTTCCTGGGGGGGCAGAACTGCTGACGGGACAGTGGTGACAGGCTGGATTTCATCACCAGGACACAGGGGTGGAATTATTTCACATCCAAGCTCTCTTGCTGGGCCCCCTCGGTCAGAGACTTTACCACCACCAACAAAATAGGAATTCTTTTCAAGGAAGCTTCCACACACCCACTGCCTCTTAAAATACACAGTTTGGAACGTAGTGGGTTCTCAAAAGAAATTGCGTTGGATGAACACACCAATCTTAAGAGTGGAAGGCGTGGGTGAGTGGACGGTGTTATGCAGAATCCCAGGGTTTGTTGCAAGTCATTAAGAAGCCTCCCTCCACACAGAAAGTCAATACGAAAATAATACACCCGCTCACCTTATAGACTCTGCAAGAGGCTTCCAGGCCCCATGACCCACTGGGTTCACCTGCCGGTCCTGTCGGAGGCTGGTGCCCTCACCCGCCCGAGGGGCAGCCAGCGGAACCCCAAGCTAGAGTGACTCGCCCAAGGTCACCAGCCCGTTGGCATCAAGCCAAGAAGCCAATGCACTTAAGATTCCCAGGCCGCTGCACTGTGCATTACATTAAGCCGCCTGAGCGGTGACTTTCTGAGACACCACATTTCGATGATCTCACTTCCATATATTAACAATGTTGGAAGGCAACCAGTCAGAGAATGGAGATTTCACATAACAGTTACACGTGAGAGTTTTCAGGGGGGTTGGCTCTGAAGGAGACAACGCTCTAGGTTCTTCTGGCAGCAGTGGTAACCCAAAGCTCATGCTCATTAGCAAGGGGTTGGGGTAAAGCACAGGCCCAGCTGTCCCAGCAATGGAGATAAGGAGCCAGGATAGAGTACCCCTCTCAAATCACACATGGAGTAGGAGCTAACATAACATTGTTCCAGATGAAAGTAACACTTGCAGGTGATGCTGCTTTTTCAACAGTTTGTAGCTGGTAACATACCCCTTGCTAAAATTCCAAATACCACAGACCATTGCTCTGAATCAGCCCCCCAATAGCAATCTGAGATTGTCCGGGACAGAGCCTTCAGTGCATTTGAGGTGATCCTTGAATAGGGCACCTATCTCACCTGTGCCTCACCTGACCAACTGACCATGCAGGAGTATGCCAGGGAGCACAGGGATCGGCCATCATATCCACCATCACGGTCTCCCTTTAGCAAAGAGATGAGCAAAAATGCAGGCAGTGCATCCAGATGTAAGCTGCACACTCACCTACTCAGACCATGGAGTCAACTCCTTAACCAAGTTGTTTCTAGGACTCAAGATTTTGAAATAAACTCCAAACTACCCCCAGTCCTCACCTCACAGGACACCACTAATAAAATAAAATAAAAACCACAACAGAAAGGTTCTCCCTCCTTGGCTGCTCAGACCCTACCAGGTACTGTGCTGCAGGCACCATCTCATTCATTTTCTCAAAAAGCCTTATTATTAACCCCCCCAAATGACAGATGAATAAATTAAGATATCAGGAGACTTAAAATTTTTGCTGAAAGTCCCCTAAGAAGAGGTAGAACCAGGGTGCTGGTTCAATAAAACCTGACTGGACATCAATAAAACCTGCTCTCCCATGGATGAATGGATTAAAAACACCACCATCCACGGTCTGCATACACAGTGGTGGAACATTAGTCAGCCCTGAAAAGGAAGGAAATTCTGACACAGGCTACGGCATGATACACCTGGAAGACATGATCCTAAGTGAAATAAGCCAGTCACAAAAAGACAAATATTATGACTTTGCTTCTATGAGGAACCTCAAGGAGCCTATCAAATTCATAAGGACAGAAAGTAGAGCAGTGGTTGCCAGGGGCAGGGAAAGGGAGAATACAGGAAGCTGGTATTTAATGGTCACGGACAGCACTTCCATCTGGCAACGGTATGGTAGAAATGGGGGTACAATATAAGTGACCTCAGTTTCACTGAACTACACACTTGAAAATGGTTTTTAAGATGGTCACAGTTATGTGCACTGACCATCATTTAAAAAAAAAAGTTTTAAAAAGAGAAGGCAAAGGTTAAACACACTCCTCTAATAAATCTGGAAGGCTATACAGCCATTTTTTTTATAATTCTAATGCAGAAATCTAGAGTAGCTTAACAAAAATCTGTATCCCTGGATGACTTTGCATATGAAAATTTAAAATTCTAAAGTAAAATTAGAAACCTGAGATCTTGAAAAAAGTAACTGTTAATCTGCTCTTCAGTGAGAACTAATTTAGCCTAATGCCTGTCTTCCAGGGGTCCACTTCAGGTTCCCCACCATCTGCCCATTATGCTTAGACCCCTTTCTGAGAGAATTTAACCTTCAAATGCCCATCTGACCTCAGCAGTGGGGTGCAGCACCATCTCCTACTGGCCAGTTCAGAGGCACCTGTTGCTTTCCCACTGAATACAGCAGTGGCCACTGGTGACACTGGTGGGTGACACACCCATCAAGGCAAATGAACTCATTGCGGATTTTGACCTGCAGCACCATCTGCAAACCAGCTCTCCATCCTCAACACAAAGTCCACTGCAGGGAACAGCAGAACCAGGAAAGGACCAAGACAGGCAGGAAGGATGTGTTATCCTCAAGTTCATTACCACTACCAGGGAAGGTAACAGGTCCTCCTGTCATTGCATCGCTGCAAAGTGTTTTCACACCCACGCTCTTGTGCATTAGACCAAAAAGCAGGCAAGTGGAGCACTTTAGCCCCACTTTTCAGAGGAGGAACTAGACATCAGAATTTGTACAGGGTCAAACAACTAGTTAGCTACCCAGCAGGAACTGGAAGTCACCCATGTCATGCCTTCTGGTACCCCTCCCCCCAGTGACAGGGCCGGCCAGCAGCGCAAGGAACAGGAAATTGAAGTGGCTCCTGGTAAGACAGCCAGCCTGCCAACCTCCAAGAGAGCTGACAAATGACCAAAAGCGCCTCCTCCAACGGACTTCCAACTAACCTCTTCCCACCTGCGGCGCTGAGGACGCAAGCTCCCGGAGTCCACAGCCCAGCGCGCCCATCTGTGCCCAGAAAGGACCGCCCGTAGAAAGGAAGCTCGGAATAAGCAGCCCGCGGTTGCAGATCCGAGTTGGAGAGGCAGTTTCCCAGGATGAACTTATCAGCTTTATTCCCACTCCTATCACATCCCCCACAACACACACTCCTTCCTGAATCCCCACCCCTTCTCCGCAGAACTGTAAGTAAGAGGGGCCAAGCAGGAGAGAGCGGAGTGTTCAGAGACGCGGCGCCAGAGGCAGCAGGCAGCAGGCACACGCAGGGTAAAGCCCGCCGAGAGGTGGGGAACCGTGGAAAGAAAATCATGCACTTTCAGAGTCATGCACCATTTCCAAAATAGTGAAGCAGATTTCAATCACTTTACCTGAGTTGTTTTGGCTCTTCTGCCTTGCATGCTGCTGCTGTGGCTCATTGGCGGGTTGGTGGCACCTTCAGAAAGACAGTGAGATTTCCTACAGGGAAGTGTGTTGTAATTACTGTACGGAAGAGCCTCTTCAGCAGCAGCTGGTGGCATCTTATGGTTTGCAAGATCGGGAATATCAGACACCAAATTCCGACAATAGCCTGGAAATTTGCTCCTCGGCCCCCCGTTCGCTGTCACCCCAGAGTTTTTCTGGGCATACAAGTCGCCCAGGGAATTGGCACGCTGACAGCCGCTGAGCTGCCGGGGACTCGCGCGGGTTTCCATCCCCCGAGTCTCCCCGCTCTCCTTCTCTTCCGCGGAACCCAAGATTTCTTCGTTGCTTGTTAAATGTTCTTGGCTCAGATCAGAGAGTGAGAATTCCAGGCTGTCCTCCCGCCAGATGTCTGCTGATTTGGAGCGTTTCTTCTTAAAGCTTGCCGTCTCCATGAATGCGGGCCCGTTGGAGGTATAGGGGCGCTGCCTCCTGCCTGCCTCTGCCAAGCATGTAGCGTCATCCCCGTAGAGCCGGCTCTGCTCCGAGTCTGGCACGCTCTGCACAGAGGTGGCTGTGAGCACGATGTTGCTGTCCACGCTGGGGGTGACGGAGGAATCCGTGAAAGACACCGGTCTCAAGCCCATGTCCACTCGGTCCACCCAGATGGGGCTCCCGAAGTCCTCTAGGGTGCCTTCCTGCGGAAAAGGCTCCAGACCATTTTCGGCCAGGGACTGGGGGATGCTGGGGGTGCTGCTGGAGCGGGCGCTCACTTCGGAGTTGCGGTGGATCACCTTGCCCGAGGACGAGTGCCTGGTCCTCCGAGGCTTGTGTGACAGGCGCAGCGAGCGCGACGTGTGCTTGCGCCCCAGGATGGGGTGCTTTTCTCCATAAAACTCATGCTCTACATTTTGACTTTCTGCGTTTCCCATGGTTTTATGGTCTGTAGAAAGGGAGGGGGGAAAAGGAGGCGATCACTGAGTCACCAGTGGGTACAGGTAACTAAATAGACCTCAGCAGGAAGGGTGGGTTACCAGTTCCGCAGGTAACACCCTCCTATACACACCTGGCAGGTGCGTGGACTCCTACTCTGCAGCAGGTGAGAACTGACATCAGCCGCTGAGATGGCTCCCCAGAGACCGCTAAGAGAAATACACATGTGCCCAGGGAGCACACCCCACCTCCAGGGCTGGCAACCCTTGTCTTTCCTCCTGAACCCCACACTTAGGTATTTAAAGTTGGACCAACACGTCTGCTAAGTAAGTGACTTTCCTTTTGAAATGACATCTTTCAAAAAATGAAACAAAATTCGCAAGAGCCTTTGATAATTTCTTCCCTTCCTCCCCAGGCTGGTTTGGCTTCAGCCCAACTCCAGCTCTGTCAAAATCAATCAAAAATGGAAAAGCGCAAGACCTAAGTCTGATCAATGCTTTGCTAATATATTAAAGTTGAAAAGAAAAATTACTTTACCTTCAGCTGCACGGCATCCTAAACATCTAGTGTTTGTGGGGTTTTGGGAGGGAGTGTGAAAAGGAAGGGGGTGGAAGGGAGATGGGCAAAACAAAATAGAAACCCCATTCTCTGCCTAATAGCAGACTAATGGGTTTATTTCTGGGAGCATATCCAACCTGAGAACATTAATCTGGTACAGAGTGCCCTGAAAACAGAAATTCACATTCTGAAACCGCTAAATGTGATTCAGCCTTTTGGGGCTACCCAAGTTAATTCAAGTCCCTCCTTAATATTTTTCCTGCTTCTCTCACTGACCTGATGACTGTTCTCCACAGTGGAAAATAGGAAAATCTTCAAAGCTCACCATTGGTGACTCTACTTAGCCTATCTCCTTGCTCTGCCAGGTTGTATCCATTCAAGTGGTATCACTTAAGACACTCACATGAAATTGACCAGAAAGAAGAAAAATAGAGTAGCTGGCTATATCCCTGAGATTCTTTTAAGCATCTACATAATCTTTCATTTAGAAAAATATAGGCTGAGCCCCTACTATGCTCTAGAAGTCAGAGACAGAGGCAGTGAACAAAAGAGATGCATCCCTTGCTCTCATGAAAGTGATACTCTGGCTGAAGAAGGCACACGATAAACAAAACGTGGCAGACACAGAAGGCAATCAGAAGCAAAGTGACTGTGACCATAAAGAAGAGACTGAAACACCCAGGAGTCAAAACACATGAGTGAATTAAGAAGATGCGGTACATACACACAATGGAATACTACTCAGCCATCAAAAAGATAAACTCATGCCATTTGCACCAACATGGATGGAGCTGGAAGGGATTATACTAAGCAAAATAAGTCAGAAGGAAAAAGATAAGTATCAGATGATGTCACTTATATGTGGAATACAGAGAAACTGAACAAAAGGTCAGGGAAAAAAAGATAGAACTTGCAAGCTAACCATAGTTCTGAGGCATCCAGCAGGGGAGGGGGGGAGAGAGAGAGAGAGAGGTCAATAAATTAATAAATTAATTAATTAATGAAAATAAATTAATCAATTATTAAAAAAGAAAGAAAGACCCAGGAATATAACACGCCTGCACATCATCTGGGAATCACACTGGAATTCCACCACCCAGCCTATACTACTACTTAAACGTCCACAAACCCATCTTAACTGAATTGAAATTTGTGGCAACAGGAATTGGGGAAGCTCCACTAAATGTCCCGGTAAGTCCAGTAGTAACACATACAGATACCAGATGTTAAGCTAAAGCATGAGATCCTCAGAGGGAACTTCCAAGAAAGAGAGTCTCCTTTCTAATAGCTGCAAGTATAGTTCAAAGCAATAAGGCCATGCCTCTAGCTGGTATCTTTATGAGGCCAGAAAAAAAGATAGTCACTCTACTCAGTACACAGAAAAGGAAAAGATGAAATCCCCATGCATGGCCACTTCTGTTACCTACATTTCTAAGAATCTCATGTGCTATATTTTCAAAAGTAAAATAGATAAATAAATAACATTGAAGGCCATGGGCAATTTCTTAGAGTCCTCAGTTTCTTTTATGCACACACTGAGATCCCTCGGGTCTGCCTAAGTAGCTAGGTGTTTGACCAATAGATAATAAAAAGTTTAGAACAAGTGTTAGCCATGGACCCATTTTAAGAATCATATAGATTTAAATTTAAGGTGGGGTGGGGAGATGGCAATAGAAGCTGAGTAGAAGAAAAGGCAAAACTGCCACCTCCAATACATCAGAATACCCCCTCCTCTGCCATAGATATCAAAAGTTTGCAAATATAAACTGACAGGCATACTCTCAATGATAAATTTCTAGTTAGGCTCATTTCTGCCAACAGAAAACTAATCAAGTTAAAAGCCTCCAAAGAGGTTTTCAAAAGGAAATGGCCCCAACCTCCAAGAATGACAGTGTTCCACGCATCACACTGACGGGCCTATTATATTAATAGCATTTTTAGTAGCAAGATTCTCTTCAGCCAGCCAAGGTAGGAAAGAAGCAATCTTATCTTCAGAACTAGAATTTATAGATGAATGTTAAAATCTCCAACATCCTACAGAGGGTAATTCTCAGGGGGTGATCTAAGCAGAGTCAGCAGGAAATTCGAAACAACTAAAGTTAAGAAAAATAAGTTCGAGGGACTGCTGAAACACCCCTTAATTTGCAAGCTTTTCCTGAAAGGTCGGTGAGAACCATGAAGGCCCATGTGGGTTCCATGGGGGGGCTCTGAAATAACAAAAGCATGAAAAATTAAAATTGCTGAATCTCTATAACAGACACAATCTCCCCTCTCAGGGGATAACCTCTGGAACATTGCTAGATGGAAAGTTCTAAACCTTTTTCATGGACAAATGTCAAATGCCAGCTACTGCCATCATTTCAGTTCTCCCTGTTCTCTGCCACTAATAGAAAAAACAAAAAAACCCTTTATGTTTGTCTTACATTTGTACAGGTCTTGTTTGTTCCTATGAACCTCAACACAATTTCAGGACAGCACTTTTTTGTAGACTCTAGAAAGACTAGCTGTGTTCTCTCCAGGCTAAAGAGACAATCTATGTTCGCGCATTTTAGTAACAAAAGCAAAAGGTGAGTGTTAATGGTCACACAGTGCCTAGGTAAGAGGGGGAAAATGAAGGCCGAGAAGAACCAGTTAAAATGCAAAAACTGGGATAGAAATTGGACAGAAGAGAGTCAGAATTAAGGACACTCAGTCTCAACACATTACCCATCTTAAAACTACTAAACTCTCAAATGCAGGCTCTGCCTTACTCCCACAGAATGTTAGTTCCAGAGAGCTTGCACTTTCAGGCACAGCTGGGGGAAGGGGAATTTAGCAAGCAGTGAGACAAGACTTTAGCATATGAATAACACTCAGTCTTTGAACCTCCAATCTGGCTTCTCAGACTTTCTTTCAGTGGTGGACATGCTGGCTTCCCAACCTGCCCCAGGGCCTTTGCATAGCTCTTCCTCAGAGGGCAACCCTCCTTCTTTCAGACAACTGCCTGGCTCACTTTCTCTAGCTTGTTGAGATCTTGACTCAAGCATCACCTTCTCAGGGAGGCATTCCCTAACTCTGTCCAAAAGGATAACCCCTCTCACAGAACTCAACATTTCTGACCCCAACTCTCCGTACTTCCTTAGCATTTATCATCATTGTAACAAACAATGTATTTCATTTACTTATGTATTTTTTTTTCTTTCCCCATTATAACCTAAGCTTCAGGGGGATGGAAAGTTTTGTATGTCTTGTTTACTGCTGTGTCCTCATGCCTAGAACACTACCTGAAAGGTGCTCAATAGAAGAATAATGAATGAAGGAATGAAGGAATGAAGGAATGAAAGACAAAATAAACTTGAAAACCTCTTACAACTAAATCTTCACTTAACAACATCGAAACTTCTTGGATATTGGATGTTAAGCAAAACAAGGTGTAAGGAAGGCAGGTTCTCAAACTATTTTTTGTTCAGCACAAGTCGGGATTATTTTTTTCTCATCGAAATGCATTCTAGGACGGACTACACAGCATGTATAGATGGGGACATGACCACAGTGTAAATACTCGAGCCTCTGCTTTCAGCACCTCAAGGACACCCTGGCTTCCAACTTGCCTGCTGCTCTCGGGATCCTGTCCCCCTGTGACCACATCTGAGACAGGTCCCTCATTCCAAACCACCGGGTTGGGGGTTACCTGACCCAGGAACTGAGTTAAGGAGGTGCAGCTTGCTCTGTTCCACTTCCCTAAGCATTGAGGACTTATTCCTGTCTCGTTCCAATTAACCCTTATCCTTGTTTCCTATTTTCCTCCTCTTTACTGGAGCTGCCTCTGCAGAGGTTTAAGAAAGGGGCTCAGAGCGGAAAGGGATCCGCAGCCCACAGACAGAGTGAAAAATACAGAACTAGTCAGGATGAGCTTACCTGGTAACAGATACCGAAAGAGACCTTGCGTTGTATATGTTTTTAGGTCTTTTGAATTTTGAATCATTTTGAATATAGTATCAAATTTTAAAAAATATAAGAAGCAAACAAGCCACAAAAATGTGAACTCTGATATCATACTGCTGGAGCTTAAATCTTCCTCCATCACTCCCTAATGTGTGGTCTGAGAAACCAACTGAAACTTGGATTTTTCTCCTCATCTACAAAATGAGTATAATGATAGCATGGACTTCTGAAATTGTAAGAATTAATCAAAATGATGCATGACAGAGTGGCATGTGTGGGCCGGGGGTTACTGGAAAGTGGACCAGAACCCAGAGGGGCATACAGACCGAGAGGGAATGTGGCCTTTCCAATCCTCTCAACACCTGGATCTTTCTTTTAAGTGGTGACTTAAACATTTCAATGAGTAATCATAGTAACTTCCTTTTAGATACCATTAAACTAAATACACAGAGGGTTTTTTTGTTGTTTTTTTTTTAAAAAGGTATCTCACAGAACCTTATCATAAAGCTCAAACAGTTGCTGGCTAGGGTGGTTGGTTCAGACACGCATGAGGTAGGTGGTCACTTCCCAAGGCAAATGATCTTTCACAGATTTATTAATCTGCCACTCCTATGTGAGAAAATGACGCACCCACTGCAAAAATGTCAAATTCCTGGCTTTGGTAGTTTACTATAACTGTGGAAGATGCAGTCATTAGGGGAAACTTGGTGAAGGGTAATTCCACTGCACTGCCAATTTCCAGCGAATAATCTACAATTATTTCAGAATAGAGATTAAAGAAAGTTTTCACTAACTGGACTATTCTAGTTAATGAAAAAAAATTTTATGAGGATTCTTTAAAAGGAAACTTTCAAATTCCTTTTTATAGCTGAAAACCAACCAAACCTTCTGATATCATCTTATTGAATTAGGCAATAAAAAAATAAGCACTTACCCAGCATCACGTAGCACATTATCAGGAAATACAAAGCAAACAGAGACCAATGGTCCAAAATGAGCTTAAGTAGAGAGAGAGCCTTGACTAATGAGAGACAGAGCTTCTGTCTAGCAGAGCAGAGATAAAGCTGAACTGCTAATATGTGGTGTCAGCCAAGATGGAGTAAGGCACCATGGCCAACCTTTCCCCCACTGATAAAAACCAAAAACTCAGAACCAAATGAAAAAGCAGCTATCTGAGGATTATGAAAAGTAAGAAAAGCAGGCAGACTTGGAGAGCAAGTCAAGCCCTGAAGAAGCCTCTCCTAAGAGCCTAACTTTCCCATTTTTGCTTCTAATTGTCATCATTTGTGTTGAACACAGAAGGTGAGTGCCCAAATGGCTGTGGCCCAGGCAGAAAAACTCATGAGACACATCCTGTTGTTCTGGCCAAAGAAACCATGGAGAGTGGATCCTGTAAGCCAGTAATAAAGAGGAACTCAGAGAAAAGAGAGCTGGAAAAGCAAGCCCTCTAATGAGGTGTATGAATCACACAAGTCCCAGGCTCATCCTGCAGAGTCATATGCCTAAGACTGGGCACAGCAAAACTGCCAAGGCTGTGAGCTACACACAGCCCACCTCTGAGACTACTCCCAAGTGGCACAAGTGTGGGACAAACCCAAAAGAGCAGAGCAAAGGCCTGAGAATGGAGTTGATGTTACAGACATCACTCACAGCAGGTGAGACAGAACTTTCTGATGGAACCTGGTCAGCTGATTGCTTGCTAACACAGCAAAAAGAAAACTCAACATTCTGCAGATGATTTTGAATAGGACTAAAGTCTCCCACCATCATACTTAAAACATCTATGATGCATTCCAAAGAAAACCAGGAAAATCCAGCCAGTTCTCGAAGGAAAAGATAATCAATGGATGCCAATCTGAAGGTAGGACAGATATAACTTCCAGAATTATCAGCAAGTATAAAGCAGCTATTATAACTGTGTTCCCTGAGTAAAGGTCAACACTCTTGAAATAAATAAAACTTAACTGCTTGCAATGGCTATGCAAGATCATTATGGACATCAATTATTATACACACTAGGACACAACGTAAAAAGAATAGTAAAACCTGTGTCACCCAAAATATAACATGTATGCTGCATTTTTAAGTCACGTCAATGTGACGTTTTCTCAGTACTGCATGAGGAACAATCCCACTGACAAACCCCCTGGTCAAAGTACCTGGGCAGAGAGAATCTTATTCATAGAAGTAAAACTTATATTTGAGATGCACATCTAAGCCAGATACTGGTTTGGGGTGGGTAAAAAATTTCTTAAAGAATATTAATAATCTCTCTCTCTCTCTCACACACACACTCACACACACTCACACACACACACTCACACACTAGACTGGTACAAAAAATTTAAGGCAAATAGTCTGGAGAGAGTAATTGAGAATAATTTTAATTTTCAAAATTATATTTTTTGGATGTTTTAAAGTTTCTACACTAAATCCATAATTCATTTTAAGGAAAGAAAAAAAAAAACCATACTAACATGTTTTATGTCCCTGGGTTTCTTGGATAATTGAAGAGAGTAGGGATGTGGGCACTATGCTGACAGCTACAACAAAATGACACCAAACCCAAACTCAAAACAGATGGTTTGGGGAAATTACAGAAGATAAAGAAAATACTCTGTGGCTTGGATTGAATCGCTCATTTTCGCCATTCCGATGGCACTTTGCATGCCCTACTCATGCCGTGTCTGAGCCATGGGTTCTCGTACACTGACACATTGTCTGGCTTCATATGCACTCCCTGCCTATTTTATTATGATCTGCTCGAGGCTGGGACCATATCTCACTCCTCATTTTACAGGTCACCCAAAGAGACACAACACAAGCTTGGTGTGGCTCTTCCGGCAGGAACACTCATCATTCAGTTTGCTTTAAACAAAGGTACATCAAATGTGGAAACTTTAGAGCCCATGAGGGGACTCAGGATGACCCAGTTCAACACCTATTCATGTCCAAAGTTAACGGTTAAAGCCAAGCTTTTCTGTCACTGGTGAGGGCACTGGGAAACTCACTGTGGGGCATTTATTGATGTATATAAATTATAGTTATTAAGACATTTTTCACTCCCCTTAGGTAGTGAAAAACTTATTAAAATAAACATAATGATTACCCTCCCATGACTTGAAAACAAACCTCCAAAATGGCAGGAAAAAGGATGAAATGGATTTATTTCAAAGTTAAATTTGAAGTGAAAATCACAAGACAACAGATTGCAAATTTAAAATTAGATTCTAGTGGGAGGTCTTGGTTTGAAGCCTATTTTTCCCTACTGGAGGCTGAGCCTGAAGACAGGGGGAGAAAAAGAGCTAAGATTAAACCGAGACAAAGTTCTGAAAGTTTTTGCTAAATCTTTATAAACCACTGAAAAGTGACCTGCCAAGTCACACACAAATACCCCTAACACCAGAAACCAACCCGCAAAGTTTTGCAACAAATCAAAGATGATCTGTGATTTAGAAAGATTATTATTTTGACTGTATTTATTTTGCATTTGAAAGATTATACAAACCAGAAACAAAATATATCATTGTTTTGAAGTTAAGGTCTTGAAGCTAGGTTTGTCTTTTTCAAACATAATCCAATGTAAAGATGGTGAAGCTCAGGGATAAATTTAAAAGCCCCTGAGGGAAATTCACAGGGGGGGGAGAAAAGATTTCACAGGTAACAGGCTTTTCCTTTTTCTTTTTTTTTTTTAAGTTTTCATGCTAATGCTTTTGAATTGTTGGATGGGTGTGACCCTAATCCAGGGAAGTGATTCAAAACACTTTTTCCCACCATATGCACAGAACATAGCAATTCTGATAATGCTACATTGTTTCTGCCTGCCACCTTTGAAGTTATCCACTTAATTCATCTGGGAAGGTATAGGTCTCAAACAGACACACACAAACCTACCTTAAAAGGCAACAGTGGTTCCCAGCCCGATTTGCCCCAAGAGCAGTGTGGCATTTAGATATTGAGCTTGGAAATGGTGGCAGGATGAACTGGGGCTGGAAATAGATCAGCACCTGCCCCTGGGGGTGGCCATCAGGGTCTCATATATGAGAATGTGCCCCAAACCTGCAGAGGACAGAAAAAGAGAAAGACAAAAGAAAAAAAAACAATCAGCCAGAATCCAGTAAAGAAGCATTTTTTTACCAAACCCATTTTCATCAATTGTCAAACATTAATTCTGTACAAAATACCACACCCCAAAGCAAACAATTCAACATTAAGCTACAGGTATAAAGTGGCATGCCTAATCAGATAAATAACTCAACTTATTCATACATATGGTAATAAATAGCTCTTACAAATTTATCATTTTAACCTATCTCTAAGGACTGAGGTATCCGATAGCAGAGATTGATTGGTAAAGACGTTCCAGTGGTTCTGTCTACATCTCCTTTACACGATCTCGGCAAACAGAGATGAACGAAAGGGAGCAAGGAAGTCTGGGTTATTCTCTATGTATAAGAGAAGTTGGCGAGAGTGCTACCCAAAAAAAAAAAAAAAAACAAAACAAAACAAAACAAAGACAAAGGACCAAATTAAACACAGGGGCCTTCCCTCCTGTCCAAGTTTTCTTACACTGGCAATTGGCAAATTCAGAGGAAACTGATGAAGAATGAGCACAGGAAACAATTAAGGTAAAATATCCAAACTGTTACTTAGTACAGAAAATAAATTGGCCAAGCTCTAGAACTCCCCAAGCAAGCCTATTAAGGATGTCTTTTGTTTGTTTAAGCAAGCCTGTATTTTAAAAGTGAGATGCAAATACTAAAAAAGGCAAAAGGCCTTAAAGTTCCCTGGGGTGCTGCCCCCCAACTGTCCTTCTGGACCTGCCTCCCAGGGCTGCCTGCTCCTGCCACCTGCTGCTGCTGGTTCCAACCAGCAGGAACCTGACATGACAAACACTGACAGCAAAATCATGTAGCAAATCACCTACTTTGTGCAAGGTGAATAAAATACATTTGTAGCAGTGAATATAAAAATACATCCAGAGCAAATAAAACAAAGAGCCAAGTTACAGACCTTCCCCAGCTACGAAAACGTGCTGTCATCGAGAAGTCACAGTTCTCAGCAAGACCCCACTGTCACCCCCATCATCTGCACCCTTCCCCTAACTCCCCTTTTACAATCCTGTTTACTCTCTTCCTAGGCATCCTTCTCAAGCGGCTTTCTGCAAAATTTCAAATTTTCAAAGCAGTTCCTGAATTGCTTAGGAACTGGCAGAAATTAATACCAACAGCCCATTTATATTGAAATGGACTCATCACGCTGCCAGCTGCCAATAATTTGCAAGGCTGGATTCTTGCTGGCAAATGGGGCCTGCAGGCGGCTGTCCCTCCACCTGCACCTGGAGGCTGACAATGCAAGTTTTACACTTTAAAAAAAAGTACATATTCTTCTACCAGAACTGAAAATTTTCTTTACCAATGTTCCTCTAATACCTAGGCAGAAAAATGGTATGAGGAAGGAGGTGAAAGTTTGAGGGCATTATTTATAAAATATATGGGAAAACAAAGCTGAGTCTACACAGTATCATTTTTTTTAATTTTCTCATTTTATTGGATTAATTTGACATGTAACATTGTATAAATAAAAGGTGTACAGCTTGTTACTTTGATGCACTTATATATTCAGCTATGATCTTGCCATTATAGTCCTATGTATCACATTACATATTTGTAGTGTAATATTATTATCTATATTCATTATACTGTACATTAGATCTCTAAAGCTTATTTACTGCTTGTTCCAAGTTTGTGCCCTAAAACACCATCAATCTTATCCCCCCACTTCCCACCCCGTCACCACCTTTTTATTCTCTTAACAGGCTTAACTTATTTAGATTTCACTTATAAGTGGAATCCAATAGGTCTTTCTCTGCTAATTTCACTTAGCATAATGCCCTCCAGGTCCATCCTTGTTGTTGCAGGTGGCACAATTTCATTCTTTTCATGGCTGAGTAATATTTCACTTTATCTACAGTCATACCTTGATTAATGACAGGGATACATTCTGAAATATGTGTTGTCAGACAGTTTTGTCATTGTTCAAACATCACAGGGTGCAATTCCACAAACCTAAATGGCACAACCTACTACACACCTAGGCTCTGTGGTCATCTATATGGACCACCATCATCTATGCAGTCCATCATTGTCCAACACATCATTAAGCAACACACAACTATACATATTTGGCATACTTTTTTTCTGACTTTGGTGGGAAAAACATTTTTATCTTTAGAAATGATCCAAGGAAGAACCCCACATTGGTTCTCCTGCAATAGGCAGAAATGCTACAGCTATCAGGGGCCAACAGTACTCATTTGCCTGCCATGGGCTGACCCCACTGGGTGACTATGTGCCATGGGGACTCTGGGTTTTCTTCAAGAGCTGCAATGAATTTGATTTCTCTGGGAGGCAGCTATGCCCCAAGCTCAATGTAGGGAGACAAAGCCTTGGGGTCCTACAGTACACACTAAGTCCAACCTCAGTTCTGACACTCAGGAGTGACTGAGCCAAACTCTACATGGTAGTTTACCCCTCTGCAAATGGGATAATAGTAGTTCCTGAGCCATGGGGTTTCTACAAGCATTAAATGAGATCATCTATGTTGTATGATTACCTCAGTAACTATTGGGATGATGCTCCCTAAATAAGTCAAAGAACGATACAAATACTGGATGATTTCACTCAGAGGTGGAATACAAAGAGACAAAAGAAAAGAACAGGCAAATCTTAATGAAAACAAACCCTAGAAATCTGGCTGCAGAACTCAGGCTAGCAGAAGGGGAGGGTGGAAGTGTGGAGCAAGGAGGGCGGGGTCCAACAGACCAGGGTGGAGGATTATGGCTTGGGTGGTAGGTACGGTGTAGTAACACATAATACATCAGAAGAGGTGCAAGCCTATGCTCCTAAATCATGCACAATCATGGTACCTCAATCAAAAAATGATACAATGTCTAAAAAGTAACTGTTAGCTATTATTTCCATTATTATTTAAAATTTGTAACACATACACTACAGAAAGGGCATTATTATGAGGGTTTCCTTAAAACATGGTATCTAACTCACTGAACCCCAGTCTGTGTTACAGGTTGGATGAAACTAGTCCCCTTCCATTTATTATGGGACCTTAGAGGGGTTTAATGAATCCAGTTGGAAGACATGATCTACTCAATTTGCCAGAGCTCACGCCTACACAGAAGCCATGCTGACAAAACCAGCCGGCACTGGTCACCTGCCTACATCCCATTAAGATGACCCCAAGGGAAGGGAATGTTCACTGTACCCTGTTTTTCATTATCACTCTGATTCATCCTCAACTCGTAATCAATTTCTGTGTCAGGTGTCAAATAACGGGAAGTGTGTGTGCGGGAGGCAGGGAAGGAATCACCAAAACTAACCTCAGCTTTCAAACAACTGCAAAAATACAGCTGTAAAATGTCATTACTTCAGTCCTATAGCATGATGCTGATGGAACTGGGACAGTTGTCAGAAATGAGTCCATGACATTCAATTGATGACTCTCCCCCCCAAAGCCTACCAACCAGAATTTTCTTTCTCATCTTCACAAAACCCCTCATAAGGGGTATATTGTCATTTTTAAGTCCTTGCAAGTTCCAGGAATCACAGTAGGTAGAGAAAAGGATGCCGCACTTGCACTCAAAATAACCAAGTTCGTGTACCACACACTCTATTACATATTATCTTCCGTGAGCTAGGGTAAGTAAATTATCCATTCAAAACTCAACAGGAAAAAATAAAGATGTGATACTATCTATCTTAATTAACACCTACCTGAAAGGTTGCTGTAAAACAGAAATTAGAGAATCAACATGAAGCACTATAAACTATAAAACATATGTTAACTCTATTCTGTTCATATGATTCAGTGCCCAAAAATGTTCCATAATTAGTGAATTAATGAAAATCAGGATGTTCCCCATAAATCTGAATCCTAAAGGGAGTTGGGAGTACAGGGAAGTCTTAGATTAAAATGCCCAAAAACTAAAAATCCTGAACATTTATTTTACATGTAATAAGCACCAAAAGGATTTTAGGCTTTAGAATTTATATTTAGTCCACAAATGAGTAATAGGTGGATGAAAGGATAGATAGTTCAATAGATGAATAGATGGATACATGGATGGATGGATGGATGGATGGATGGGTGGATGGATGGAAGGGTGGGTGGACAGAAGGATTGATGGATGGATCTGGTGCACTGGAAAAATTTTAATGGCTCAAAAATTAAGCTTAAAGAAAATACATCAATCATTTTCTTTACTTATTTTTTAACCATTATTTTATTCAAGGAAGGACTCAGGAATGACTTCCAACGATGCATAATCTAAAGTAGAATAAAAGAAATTACCACCAGAAAATGAAAAGAAACCCAATGGTTTTGACAAAGTGAAGTGGGGGAGAATAAGGCTACAATGTGCGCGATACTGAGCTACCCATCTGGTTCAGTTTAACAGTCAGCTTTGCAACAGCCAACTCAAATAGGAAAGCATAGTGGTGGTGGAATTCACAACACCGTCACCAACTGTTCAGAAGGACAAATGTTCTCAGCACCACTAAGCTCAGACAGGAATGACTGCTGGTGGTCCTTGGTGCCACCATGATGTGGTGACAATGTCCAGGACTATATGGGTTCAGTGACAAATTACACAAGAATATTTCTATCTTGACCATTGACTTTTAAAAATCACAATTTTTCAACACAAATTCCGAAATGTGTGCTACCAAGGCAGAGGAGAGAGCTTGCTCACCTTCCAGGAAATTCTTCTTGAACACTGTTTGCTCTCCATAGAATGTTGGATCGTGGCCTGACATGAAACTCCATGGCTCATGGCCAAGTGTGCTGGGTCAGCTAGCAAACGACCACACCCCTTGTAAAGGGAGAGAGTTCCATGGGTGACCTTGTCTGGCATGTGTGAGGGCTGCGATTGACATAAGGACTCCTTTGGGCATACTCAAGAGGAGCCCCACCTTCCCTGCTAGGGGAACCACATGACCACTGAGGGCGCTGGGGACAGGTCCAGGATTCTCCATGGAAAACGG